TAGTATAAACCAGCCTTTAATCTTGAAATCTTTGGTTGTTTAGTACATGGCCTCACATGTGAATCCTTAAAGAGATGGGTGGGGCTAAAGCTTAAGAGGGTGTGAACAATGCTGAATGGATGTAGACAAAGAATAGCTCTCCAGTAGGTGTACCAAAACATTAAAAGGCAATTTTCTCAAAAGTGAGGTTACAAGTTTATCAACTTTCAAAGCAGAATTACTTTCCCATCATTCCTCAACTGTAGTGTATGATATACCATTTTCTAGCTCTGAGTCTCTACTTTTATCCAATGTATGAAACACAATTTCAAATGTTGCTACATAAGATCGAGCCGGTCGGTCACAAATGTGGAAAAAGTGAAGGGGTCTGAATACTTTCCAAATGCACTGTATTTGACAGTCTGATGGCCTGGAGATGGAAGCTTTTTTTCAGTCTCTCTCTCCCAGCTTTGATGCACCTGTACCGTCGCTGCCTTCTAGATGGTAGTGGGGTGAACAGGCCGTAGCTCGGGTGGCTGACGTCCTTGATAATCTTCTTGGCCTTCCTGTGACACCGGGTGCTGTAGATGTCCTGGAGGGCAGGCAGTGTGCCCCCGGTGATGCGTTGGGCAGGCTGCGGTTGCAGACGGTGCAGTTGCCATACCAGGCGGTGATACAGCCCGAAAGGATGCTCACAATGGTGCATCTGTAGAATTTTGTGAGGGTTTTAGGGGCCAAGCTGAATTTCTTCATCTTCCTGAGGATGAAGAGGTGCTGTTGCGCCTTCTTCACCACACTGTCTGTGTGGATGGAATATTTCAGGTTGTCCGTGATGTGTGCGGCGAGGAAGTTGTGGCTTTTCACACACTCCACTGCGGTCCCGTCCATGTGGATGGGGACGTGCTCCCTCTGCTGTTTCCTGAAGTCCACGATCAGCTCCTTTTGTTTTGTTGAGGGAGAGGTTATTTTCCTGGCATCACTCCGCCAGGGCCCTCTTCTCCTCCCTGTAGGCTGTCTCCTCATTGTTGGTAATCAGGCCTAATCATTAGCCTACATCAATGCAGTTTACAGCCTATAGACAATTGTGTACTCACTTACATTTTACATTTTAGTCATTTAGCAGACGCTCTTATCCAGAGCAACTCAGTCAGTGAGTGCATACATTTTTTTTTTTTTTTTTTTTTCACACTTGATAACAATACTAAATTGCACTGTGTTGTGATAACGTAGGCCAAATCAATAGTGGAGCTTTGCATGACCGAGGACCACAGAGCATAGCCTGGAGGAATGGACAGATCTGCCATGCATGACCGAGGACCACAGAGCATAGCCTGGAGGAATGGACCGATCTGCCATGCATGACCGGGGACCACAGAGCATAGCCTGGCGGAATGGACAGATCTGCCATGCATGACCGAGGACCACAGAGCATAGCCTGGAGGAATGGACAGATCTGCCATGCATGACCGAGGACCGCATAGCCTGGCGGAATGGACAGATCTGCCATGCATGACCGAGGACCACAGAGCATAGCCTGGCGGAATGGACTGATCTGCCATGCATGACCGGGGACCACAGAGCATAGCCTGGCTGAATGGACAGATCTGCCATGCATGACCGGGGACCACAGAGCATAGCCTGGCTGAATGGACAGATCTGCCATGCATGACCGGGGACCACAGAGCATAGCCTGGCGGAATGGACAGATCTGCCATGCATGACCGAGGACCACAGAGCATAGCCTGGCGGAATGGACTGATCTGCCATGCATGACCGGGGACCACAGAGCATAGCCTGGCTGAATGGACAGATCGCCACAGAGCATAGCCTGGCGGAATGGACAGATCACCACAGAGCATAGCCTTGAGGAATGGACAGATCACCACAGAGCATAGCCTGGAGGAATGGACAGATCTGCCATTTCATAATCTGTTAACTGTTTTTCTTGCTCTTTGAGAGGTACATATTTAACCTATAGCCCTAATATTTAGCTATAGGCTACAAAAGCTATCACATTTATTTTTATTCTTTATTTTTTTTAATTTTTATACAAGGACTAGCCTATTCGGGGAAAGAAGCAGGCTTGCTTTTGCTAATTGCTGAACTGTCGTGTGTGTGTGATAATTTTTGGCCAGTAATGATAACATTGTTGCACTGATGCATTGCAAATAGTTGCACAGGACAAAGAAGACTCAAAGAAATTGACATCCATTTGAACAATTTTAACCACTTGAGCGACAAGGCAAGACATGCTGGAAAAGATGCGCAGGCTAAACAACGTTTATTGAATTGCTACAAATACGAGTTACTAATATTATTCTTCCATTAGGCATACGTGTACATCTCATATATATAAAAATATATATATGTTTTATACAATTCACGATATATCTCGATTCAAATGATTTTTTAAAGAAAATAAAGAACGTTCTTTGAGCTTTGTTGTACAATAAATGGTCAAATACAGTGGGGGAAAAAAGTATATATTTAGTCAGCCACCAATTGTGCAAGTTCTCCCACTTAAAAAGATGAGAGGCCTGTCATTTTCATCATAGGTACACGTCAACTATGACAGACAAATTGAGAAAACAAAATCCAGAAAATCACATTTTAGGATTTTTTATGAATTTATTTGCAAATTATGGTGGAAAATAAGTATTTGGTCACCTACAAACAAGCAAGATTTCTGGCTCTCACAGACCTGTAACTTCTTCTTTAAGAGGCTCCTCTATCCTCCACTCGTTACCTGTATTAATGGCACCTGTTTGAACTTGTTATCAGTATAAAAGACACCTGTCCACAACCTCAAACAGTCACACTCCAAACTCCACTATGGCCAAGACCAAAGAGCTGTCAAAGGACACCAGAAACAAGATTTTAGACCTGCACCAGGCTGGGAAGACTGAATCTGCAATAGGTAAGCAGCTTGGTTTGAAGAAATCAACTGTGGGAGCAATTATTAGGAAATTGATAATCTCCCTCGATCTGGGGCTCCACGCAAGATCTCACCCCGTGGGGTCAAAATGATCACAAGAACGGTGAGCAAAAATCCCAGAACCACACTGGGGGACCTAGTGAATGACCTGCAGAGAGCTGGGACCAAAGTAACAAAGCCTACCATCAGTAACACACTACGCCGCCAGGGACTCAAATCCTGCAGTGCCAGACGTGTCCCCCTGCTTAAGCCAGTACATGTCCAGGCCCGTCTGAAGTTTGCTAGAGTGCATTTGGATGATCCAGAAGAGGATGGGGAGAATGTTATATGGTCAGATGAAACCAAAATAGAACTTTTTGGTAAAAACTCAACTCGTCATGTTTGGAGGACAAAGAATGCTGAGTTGCATCCAAAGAACAACATACCTACTGTGAAGCATGGGGGTGGAAACATCATGCTTTGGGGCTGTTTTTCTGCAAAGGGACCAGGACGACTGATCCGTGTAAAGGAAAGAATGAATGGGGCCATGTATCGTGAGATTTTGAGTGAAAACCTCCTTCCATCAGCAAGGGCATTGAAGATGAAACGTGGCTGGGTCTTTCAGCATGACAATGATCCCAAACACACCGCCCGGGCAACGAAGGAGTGGCTTCGTAAGAAGCATTTCAAGGTCCTGGAGTGGCCTACCAGTCTCCAGATCTCAACCCCATAGAAAATCTTTGGAGGGAGTTGAAAGTCTGTGTTGCCCAGCGACAGCCCCAAAACATCACTGCTCTAGAGGAGATCTGCATGGAGGAATGGGCCAAAATACCAGCAACAGTGTGTGAAAACCTTGTGAAGACTTACAGAAAACCTTTGACCTGTGTCATTGCCAACAAAGGGTATATAACAAAGTATTGAGAAACTTTTGTTATTGACCAAATACTTATTTTCCACCATAATTTGCAAATAAATTCATTAAAAATCCTACAATGTGATTTTCTGGATTTTTTTTTTCTCATTTTGTCTGTCATAGTTGACGTGTACCTATGATGAAAATTACAGGCCTCTCATCTTTTTAAGTGGGAGAACTTGCACAATTGGTGGCTGACTAAATACTTTTTTCCCCCACTGTACACTGCATTTCAAACAGTCAGCAATAATCAAATGAATTCAGGCTTTGTGAAATTATTCCAAAATTAAATATAAGCCTTCCTCAACCATAATGCCCGCTAATTATGTAATTATTTTATCCAAATAGTTTAACCTGCTTTCTTTGCAATAATCACTGATCTGTCTGTGAAAATGTCATTTTTGTTACGTTTACCAGAACCATTCATAATGCACATTCACTAATAATGATCTCATAAACAATCTCTCAAGCACAAGCCCACATTTCAAGTTTAGCCAACTTGGATCTATTTGCTAGCTAACAAGGCAGAACAGTTGAATTGTTATGAATACACCCTTCTATCCATCCCCAGCTGTTTTGAACAGCATGCTAGCCTGTCCACTTTGTTTGGATGTTGAAATCAAGTGGCCTACCTTATTTCTCAGAATGAGAACGATTAGCCAATTCCTTATATAATTGTGTTTTTATGCTTATTGCACATTTTCTAAAACCAACTAGACAGCTAGTATAAGTCTTTGGCTAAAATGCTGCTAGCTGTACGTGATAGGGGGAGGGGCTTGTGTGTTTAAACAGGAAGGTGCACAGCACAGAAGGAGCGAAGGAGACGGGACCAAAAAGACGTGAGAACAAGCGGACATAAACGCTCACATTTTTTATATTATATATATTTTTATACTTGTTTTATTGCGATACAGGCATTTAGAATATCACGCGCAAACATACATTTTAATTAATCGAATGTATTTATGAAAATGTATGCACTCAGTAAACTGTAAGTCGCTCTGGATAAGAGCGTCTTCTAAATGACTCAAATGTAAATGTATTTGATATATCGCCCAGCACTGGTTCTCTATCATGCTGACTGACTGCCTGCCACCCTGCCACGGCAAATGAGGGATTAGTGATGGCAAATGTGCTTATTTGCCCCCCTGTCTTTGTTTACATTGGCAGTGTTGTTATTGGTGACTTTGGGACATGGTGCAGGCTGTGAAGCAAGAGTGTCTGTTCTCAGAGTGTTTTGTTACCAGGGTAGAAACAGGAAGCTCTTAAAACTCTATTGTACATACAGGAAGTGATGCCTTTTCAGTTGTGTATTTGACCAATGATGCGGCTGACTGACTCCACATCTGTAGGCTCTTATATATTGGGCTCTCTGAACTCTCACCCAGTTCTCCTCATTGAGAGGGCACTCTCCCCTCTCTCTCTCCTCACCCCCCTCTCTCTCTCCTCACCCCCCTCACCCTTTTTGTGGGAAAGGGCAAAGATGATGATGATAATAATAATAATAATATGCCATTTAGCAGACGCTTTTATCCAAAGCGACTTACAGTCATGCGTGTATACATGTTTTTTGTTTGTTTTTTTGTGTATGGGTGGTCCCGGGGATCGAACCCACTACCTTGGCGTTACAAGCGCCGTGCTCTACCAGCTGAGCTACAGAGGACCACGGAGACATGGCTGTTTATCTGAGTAGGGGACATAAGATTAAGTCCGGTCAAGCAGGGATTTGAACTAGAATTTTTAGCAACTATTTAACTTTGAAGGACCACCCCGGCTTTGAGACCATATGGGGTTATAGGGAAGTTGTCGTTCAAGTGAACAGGGTGAAAACTGGAATGTATATTTCTGTTGACAGTGTATTTTGTTGTTTGTTTTTAGTTTACTGTATTTCTCTCTCTTTATATATATATATATATATATATATATAAAAAAATTATTTTTGGCATGCAGCAAGCACTGTATTAAATCCTAAATAGAAAATTACACTTTCACAAAATTATTTAAATAAAACGTTATTTTCTCTATCCCTCAGACTGTGCTCCGGCGGAGCAGGAGAAGCTGTTTGTGCAGAAGCTGCGCCAGTGCTGCGTGCTCTTTGACTTCCTGTCAGACCCACTAAGTGACCTGAAATGGAAGGAGGTGAAGCGGGCGGCGCTGAGCGAGATGGTGGAGTACATCACCCACAACAGGAACGTCATCACAGAGCCCATCTACCCAGAGGTGGTGTATGTGGTGAGTGTCATCAGACTGGAGGAGAGGAGACACCCCTAAGGCCAACGCGGGTGGGCTGTTTCTCTGCCTGGGTAGTGCTTGTGCTATTATCATTTCTGCTACCACCCAGAATGTGCTACTTTCTGACAGTCTTGAGCTGTCCCTCAGAGTGTGCTACTATTCTGTGTCCCCACTGTTCAGAATTTAATACTAACGGTAGGGTAGCACACTTTTTTACAATATGTTTCCATATGACCGAATGTGCTACCATAATCTCGATTGGGGGTAGCACATTCTGAGCTGGTAGGACGACAACCTTCTGACAGTCTGACCTACTGCTCAGGATGTGCCACCCCCCAATGACGGAGAGAAAGAGGCGAAGCGAGAAGTTTGACTCCGCCCCAAAATCTGTCCATTTTTTAAAACAAGCCCAAGAAGTGAGGAATTTTTGTATGGAGGTCAATGAGTGTCGAATTTGGTCAACAAAAAAATTGAATTGCTAAAATGCTAAGTGAGGCTTATTTGATGAAATAGGAGTTTTGTAATGGTTAGGTGTTACGAATGCACTGATGTAAGGGGACATACGTGGCATGTCGGCAACTTTGGGGAAAAAAACCTACTTTATATCGGAGTTGTGCCTGTGTTCATAGAGATAGACAGAGGACTCGTCATGGATATAACCCGTTTTAGCATGGACATTTCCATTGAGGGTTTCCACCATTTAAAAGTAGTCAACTGGGTGTGGGATTTCTATGAGTTGGGAGCAATCAGCCAATGAATAAAATTGGCATCTTTAAAATGGAAATAGCCTCAATGGCGTTGGCCATTAGGCTTGGGCGATATACCGTATAGAGGGGTATTTCGAAATGCCGACGGTATGAGTTATAAGCCACTGCTAATAGGTTAAGTATAACTATAGGAAATCTAAGATGTGTCAAATAAATTATCAAGCTCAGGGCTCCAGCTATGCATTTGGTTTGCTGACCTGCTAGCTAGATGTCAAGATCAAGCTTCTTGGTTACAGCAGAGACATTCAATCCCCTCCTGGATCAGGATCCCTGTTGCCTAAAATGTTTTGTGCATCAAAAAAAGACATACAATAAAGTGTGTTTGTTTGTTTTGATATAGTGCCCCTTGGTAATACCATATACCCCGTTATGGTACAGAAACGGTATGCCGTTATGAAACTCTGGATACCCTACTGCCCATGCTGTCACAGATGCTATAATGGCACAGATACAACGATGAGTCCCCTATCTCTATGGCCTGTTGTTCACTCGAATATCTGTTCCTCTCATTGGCTAGAATGGTCACACCTGATCTTGCCTTCCATCTTTGAGGACATGTATTTCCATTGTTCAAGCGGTCACTTGACTATCTTGTCAATATAGTAGACAATCTTTGGCAATGAAGAAAATTGGTATTGCAATGTCATGAACCCTGGTTACGGCTCACATACAAATAGAAAGTAGCTATGGATGTCGTAAAGCCATTAAAAAAAAACTTGAAAAATGAAGCTTGAAGCAATACTCTGCATGCGTGTCACCCATTTAAGTTAGCCCGTCGTGGTTTTTCATGTCAAAGGTCATAATGGCCCGGCGTACGTCTGTCATGGATAAGTGTAAACGCAGCAAGCCTTTTCAAGTGTCAAAGCCTTCCATTCAGTCCTGATTTTAAAATATTTAAATCATAATGCACTGCTCCCTAATCTCCTCTTCCTCGTCTGTCAGCTGTCATCACCCTTATCCACTCAGAAGTGTTTCTCTATTACATATCTAAGCTTCCATATTTAGCTGTGAAGCTAATGAGAGTTATTATAATCATTTGACAGTGAATTAACAAGCGTCCCTCTGTCAATTAATGAATCTTCAGATTCAGATCCAGAGAACTTTAATGTCTTCAAAAGGCAGTTCGTTAGTCGAAGTACATACAGACAAGATGAAATGTGAATATGTAAAACACAACTCTCTTTTCAAAGCTAAATCTGGGCTTGAACGTAGTGTACCTAGCTATCAGCCCAACAGAAGTAGCAGTGTTCTATTCCTCAGGCCAACTGCACTGTCCCATGATCTGTCTTTACAGGGAATAACACTTATAGCAACCCCACACGCCGAGTCAGTTGATGTTCGGAGACAAATGGGAACTCACTTGGGTCAAAGGAAAGAACGGTGGTTGACTTGGCCAAGTAGATACTAACTAGGGCCCTGTTTTTGAATACTTCAGACATGCCCCCTTCCTTCCTTCCTTTGTTCCCTTGAGGTAAACGCAGATCTGTAAGTGATTAGATGTGATAACGTGCGCTCGTCTATCACTTCCACTAATCCAACCAATTCAGATCTGTGATTAGTTTAGGGCTATTCAACTGGCGGCCCGCGGGCCTGTTTATTGCTTTAGACTGGCCCCTTTTGATCAATTCTGAACATTAAAAAAATCTCTGCCAAACTCCGACTTTCAGTGCTAAAATGGCAAGCACTATGGTGGTGATCTATAGTGTGGGTTTTAGCGGTTTCTAGCGCCTATGTGGAATGTTGACTATTTTCTTTATTTGAATTTGGCTCTAGTGTTTGAATGGTTTAAGCTACAAAATATCACCCCAATACTGAAAGCTACGACTTTAAGGAACACTTACGTGCCTTCTGTTTCCCCCTCTGATGCTCACAAGGACTTGTTCGAAGGGAGTGTGACAAAATCCACCAAATGACTGAGGGAAATGAATTCAAAGCATACTTCCTTCAGACTGGAATTTGGCATTACCTGATTTGACATATCTTTGTTATTTATTGAGATGCTTAGTTTTCAGATTTTAAATAAAATGACCTAATTTAGTTTTAGGGAGCTTTTAATAGTTGTGTGTGCGTAGCTTTTTTTTTTTATACAGTTCTTCAGAAGAATAATTGCATGTAGATGTCTTTTTTTATTTTTATTTTTTTTTACATCTGGCCCCCGTAAGAATATAGCCCTGGGTTTAAGGTATGACGGAAAGATCAAGGATGCATTCTAAACTATTCAAACATGGCCTATATCTTCTTGACAATACTTTCCCCAAGGCAATCCTGTTACATTCGATGTAAAACAAAACAGCCACTAAAGCAATTTGGCCCCATACTGGCCTTCATCACGGTGGTGTACTGAATCTGAATACTGAATCTGAATACACTCTTTTGCTCCCCCCCCCTCCCCCTTAGTTTGCGGTGAACATGTTCCGAACGTTGCCTCCGTCCTCCAACCCCACAGGAGCGGAGTTCGACCCAGAGGAGGACGAGCCTACACTTGAGGCTGCGTGGCCACATCTCCAGGTACCTAGGATATTTTAATCACCCAGCTCACATGGCCTGGGTCGTGTTCATTTGGCACCAAAATGAAGAAAACTGACTTAAACCAGGAGGAACTACCTGGACCTTTTACTCGGCTAATTTTTTATTTTCTGTTGTAAAGAGTTTTCAGTTGCGTGCCCTAATGAACACGTAACCCTGCTGTTAGAATGAAGTGCTGCAGATCTTCCAGTGCTGTATAATAAAATTATCTAATCAGCATAAAAGGTCATTGGACCTTCCTTACCTCTCGGTTTGGCCAAATAGAGCACACGTCTGTTTATTATGGGATGATGTTCTATACAGGTATTACCAACGCTGATATGTGATCTAATGAAACATTTTGTGATTTTACAAAACGTTTTTGTAAGGAAGGGCATTCTTGTTATTCTTGATAAGCACTAACTGTAAGTCGCCCTGGATAAGAGCGTCTGCTAAATGACTTAAATGTAAATATGCATTCTGCAAATTATGCGTTGACATTTTTTTTTTTCTTTCCAGCTCGTCTACGAATTTTTCCTTCGGTTTTTAGAATCCCCTGATTTTCAACCGAACATAGCGAAGAAGTACATCGACCAGAAATTTGTCATGCAGGTAAGAGCTGAAAGAAACATGGATTATAGATTAAAATTTTCCAAATGGACAAGTACAACAAAATCACAATATCAAACAATTTGGCTACTCTGATGAGAATTGGATCAAAGTGTCCTCCGGATGTGACATTTTGCTCCCAACCTCTGCAGAGCGCATCGGAGTATAATTAATATAGGCCTACATTGACAGGCATGAATGGTCTTTCGATCATGGAGTTGCGAGATGCTTTTTTGAGATCAAAGCGAGACACATTTGTTGTTGGGGAGAGAGGGAGGGAGAGAGAGCGAAACCAATGCTGCATACTCCAGTTGTAAGACTGTCTCTAGCGCTCAAAATTGTCCAGGATTCGCCTCTATTCAATACTGACCATGTAATTCTGACAAAGTTTAAAAAATGTATTTGAATAGCCTAATTGACAAGTAACTCCTATGCTGTCAATATTTCCCCTGAACTATAAGGCCACAACGGCAGGAGATATAATACATGGGATCAGATACCAGCAGTCTTCCATTGTCAATACCATTGATAATAGTGAAGGCTATTTTGTGGTTCCTTGCATCATACAACACCATTTTGAGTCACCCTTTTTTGGCCCATGGTGTTACAGACCGTTAAAAAAAATATATATATCTGTCCTACTTGTGGCAAAAAAAAAGTGAATGTCAGGCCCTGGAGGGATGTCATGTGTCCACAGCTTTTAGACCTGTTTGACAGCGAAGACCCGCGGGAGAGGGACTTCCTCAAAACCACTCTCCACAGGATCTATGGGAAGTTCCTGGGTCTACGGGCCTACATCAGAAAACACATCAATAATATATTTTATAGGTGAGTTTAATCTCAGCTGCTTTTTTAATGTCAGATATTTGAACACATCAAATCGATTGCTGAATGATTCAACGGTGACTTGTAGTTTTTGTTTGGCATCACTACTAAGAAATGTATGTTTGGTTGTGTAATTAAAATAAAATATATCTGTGTTTTGACAGGTTTATCTATGAGACTGAGCACCATAATGGAATAGCAGAATTGCTGGAGATACTTGGAAGGTACACCTTAAGCTCTAACTCAGCATGTCTTGCAGTACAGTTAGTTATTTTGGACTTCTAACCAGTCTCAGAATGTCTTCTTGACTGCAGATAGGATCTCTAACCATTGGTCTCATAATGTCTTCTTGACTGCAGATAGGATATCTAACCATTGGTCTGCTGCTGTTGATCCCTTTCAAATTCCATTACAATTTTGAGTTCAGTTGAAATGATTTAGATTAGAATCATTCTTATTGTAGTTTTTGTTTCTGTCTATTTCACAGTATAATCAATGGGTTTGCCTTACCACTAAAAGAGGAGCACAAGATTTTCCTGTTAAAGGTCCTGTTGCCTTTGCACAAAGTCAAATCACTTAGTGTCTACCATCCGCAGGTAAGCCCTTTGTGTCTGTCTATGGTCTGAGTTGTGTTCATTGGGCACAAAATGGAACGGGGAGGGACTTCCTTGTCCAATAAGAAACTTGTGTTTTCGGTTGAAAGGTTTTTGTATTATTTATTATTAGGATCCCTATTAGCCGACACCAATGGTGACAGCTAGTCTTACTGGGGTCCGACACATAACGAAAAATACAATTGACATACATTTAAAAAGATGATTTTTTAAAAACATTTTAGTCATTTAGCAGACGCTCTTATCCAGAGCGAATTAGTGAGTGCATACATTTTCATACTGGTCCCCCGTGGGAATCGAACCCACAACCCTGGCGTTGCAAGCGCCATGCTGTACCAACTGAGCTAAACGGGACTATGAACATGTACTGTGTGGACATTTTTAACACTTTTTCCATTGTGTGGCCCTAATGAACACAACACAGCTCTGATGATTGTTCTATTATCAGCCATGCTGCCCTGGGCTCTGTTCAAGACAGTGCTACAGTGAGGGAAAAAAGTATTTGATTTTGTACGTTTGCCCACTGACAAAGACATGAGCAGTCTATAATTTTAATTGTAGGTTTATTTGAACAGTGAGAGACAGAATAACAACAACAAAATCCAGAAAAACGCATGTCAAAAATGTTATAAATTGATTTGCATTTTAATGAGGGAGATAAGTATTTGACCCCTCTGCAAAACATGACTTAGTACTTGGTGGCAAAACCCTTGTTGGCAATCACAGAGGTCAGACGTTTCTTGTAGTTGGCCACCAGGTTTGCACACATCTCAGGAGGGATTTAGTCCCACTCCTCTTTGCAGATCTTCTCCAAGTCATTAAGGTTTCGAGGCTGACGTTTGGCAACTCGAACCTTCAGCTCCCTCCACAGATTTTCTATGGGATTAAGGTCTGGAGACTGGCTAGGCCACTCCAGGACCTTAATGTGCTTCTTCTTGAGCCACTCCTTTGTTGCCTTGGCTGTGTGTTTTGGGTCATTGTCATGCTGGAATACCCATCCACGACCCATTTTCAATGCCCTGGCTGAGGGAAGGAGGTTCTCACCCAAGATTTGACAGTACATGGCCCCGTCCATCGTCCCTTTGATGCGGTGAAGTTGTCCTGTCCCCTTAGCAGAAAAACACCCCCAAAGCATAATGTTTCCACCTCCATGTTTGACGGTGGGGATGGTGTTCTTGGGGTCATAGGCAGCATTCCTCCTCCTCCAAACACGGCGAGTTGAGTTGATGCCAAAGAGCTAGATTTTGGTCTCATCTGACCACAACCCTTTCACCCAGTTCTCCTCTGAATCATTCAGATGTTCATTGGCAAACTTCAGACGGGCCTGTATATGTGCTTTCTTGAGCAGGGGGACCTTGCGGGCGCTGCAGGATTTCAGTCCTTCACGGCGTAGTGTGTTACAAATTGTTTTCTTGGTGACTATTGTCCCAGCTGCCTTGAGATCATTGACAAGATCCTCCAGTGTAGTTCTGGGCTGATTCCTCACCGTTCTCATGGTCATTGCAACTCCACGAGGTGAGATCTTGCATGGAGCCCCAGGCCGAGGGAGATTGACCGTTTTTTTGTGTTTCTTCCATTTGCGAATAATCGCACCAACTGTTGTCACCTTCTCACCAAGCTGCTTCTTGATGGTCTTGTAGCCCATTCCAGCCTTGTGTAGGTCTACAATCTTGTCCCTGACATTCTTGGAGAGCTCTTTGGTCTTGGCCATGGTGGAGAGTTTGGAATCTGATTGATTGATTGCTTCTGTGGACAGGTCTTTTTTTATACAGGTAACAAGCTGAGATTAGGAGCACTCCCTTTAAGAGTGTGCTCCTAATCTCAGCTCGTTACCTGTATAAAAGACACCTGGGAGCCAGAAATCTTTCTGATTGAGAGGGGGTCAAATACTTATTTCCCTCATTAAAATGCAAATCAATTTATAACATTTTTGACATGCGTTTTTCTGGATTTTGTTGTTGTTATTCTGTCTCTCACTGTTCAAATAAACCTACCATTAAAATTATAGACTGATCATTTCTTTGTCAGTGGGCAAACGTACAAAATCAGCAGGGGATCAAATACTTTTTTCCCTCACTGTATCAGCCATGCTGCCCTGAGCTCTGTTCAAGACAGTGCTATCAGCCATGCTGCCGTGGGCTCTGTTCAAGACGGTGCTATCAGCCATGCTGCCGTGGGCTCTGTTCAAGACGGTGTGAAGTTACAGAACGTTCAAAATTAAATACAGTGTGTAGAACATGATTCTCTTCCGTCAAGAATAGGGAGTGGTTTCAGCCCTATTCAGTTCATTTCTATCTGCAACATTCTGAACATTCTGCCCTACTGAATGCACACTATGGAAATATATAGAAATCTATGGACATGACTGAGTATAGGTGTAGTTCAGGCAGTGGGCTCACAGTGGGGCTTGTTTCCAATGGGGCCTGTTCAGGCAGTGTGTGGGGGAGGTGAGGGCAGTACCCTGGCTGCTACAAGCTAGCTGGAATCAGATATCTGGCATTCACAAGCCAGAGTTACTATGGCGACAAAGGTCCTTGTCAGGGGCCTCTCGTGCTCTCTGGGCCGACCTCTCGCGCTCTCTGTGTCTCCCGAGTGGTCTAAGGCTGTGCCACTAGAGATCCTGGTTCGAATCCAGGCTCTGTCGTAGCTGGCCGCAACAGGGAGACCCATGGGGTGGTGCACAATTGGCCCAGGGTAGGGGAGGGAATGGCCGACAGGGATGTAGCTCAGTTTGCAACGCCAGGGTTGTGGGTTCGATTCCCACTGTATGAAAAATAAAAAAATAATGTATGCACTCACTTAACTGTAAGTCGCTCTGGATAAGAGCGTCTGCTAAATGACTAAAATGTAAATGTAAAATGTGTCGCTCGCTCTGTCTCTCGCCTCGCATCTGTCTCTCTCGCTCTGTGTCCCGCTCGCTCTGTGCGTCTCTGTCGCTTTCTGTCTCTCTCTCTTTCTCTCTATCTCAATTCAATAGCCTTTATTGACATGGCAAGTTAAATTACATACTTCGTCAAAGTATACATATAACAACAGCAATAAAAATAGTAGGATAATTTTGGAAAGAAGATCTGAGTATTTGTCACAGTGTAATAGGAAATGCAGCTCTGTCTCTACCTCTCCCCGGGGGCAGAGTGAGCACAGCCTATCCTCTCTGGGCAGCCAGGTTTGCCTGTGACGACCGGTCTCTATAGCCAGACTGTGCTCACTGAGTCTGTACCTAGTCATTGTTTTCCTCAGTTTCTATCAGTCACAGTGGTCAGATAGTCTGCCACCATGTACTGTCTGTTTAGAGCCAAATAACATTGAAGTTTACTTTGATTTTATGTGGTGTCTTTCCAATAGGTGACATATTTTTCTGGTTAGTGAACTGAGCCTCAGAACCAGCTGGCCGGTGGGACTCTTCTCTTGTTTTATCTCTTGACATAGTAGAGCTGTGTGGTGGAATGTTTTGGGGTCACTTGTTTTTAGATGGTTGTAAAATTTGATGGCTCTTTTTTTTCTATTCGAATAAGGAGGGGGTATTGGCCCAATTCTGCTCTACGTGCGTTATTTTGAGGTTTTCTTTTCACTTGCAATACAGTTTTGCAAAACTCTGCATGCAGTGTTTCGATTGGATGTTTGTCCCATTTGGTGAATTCAGTATTAGGAAGCGGACCCCATACTCCGCTGCCATATAGAGCAATTGGTTCTATAACTGATTGGAACATTTTGAGCCAGATTCTATTTGGAATTGTCTCTTGCTTTGTCTCTCAGCTCATTCACAGCCATGTGTAAGCTACCTGTGTTGCTGATATTTAGTCCTAGATACGTGTAATTTTTGGTGTGTTCTAATAGAACAGTGTCCAAATAGCCTGACCTTTTTTGGATTAACGGTCAGAGCCCAGGTCCTGTGCAGATGATCTAGATGCTGCTGTAACCCCTCCTTAGTGGGAGACAGTAGCACCAGGTCATCTTCGTACAGCAGACACTTGATTTCAGTGTTGTGTAGGGTGAGACCAGGTGCTGCCGATTCTTCTAATGTTTTTGCCAATTCATTAATGTAGATGTTAAATAGTGTTGGACTTATTGGGCAGCCCTGTTTCACTCCACGTTCCTGAGAGAATAAGTCTGTTTGCTTGTTGCCAATTTTAACCACACATTTTGTTTTTAGTGTACATTGATTTAATAACATCATATGTTTTCCCTCCAATACCACTTTCTATTAGTTTGTAAAAAAAGACCTTTGTGCCAAATTGAATCAAATGCTTTCTTGAAGTCTACAAAACACGAGTAGATTTTGCCTTTGTTTTGGTTTACTTGTTTGTCAATTAGTGTGGAGAGTGTAAATGTGGTCTGTTGTACGATCATAAAAAAAAAAATCTGACTTCTGCTTAGGATGTTGTGTTCATCAAGGAAATGATGTAGTCTGCTGTTTATGATACTGCAGAGAATTTCCCCCAAGTTGCTGTTAATGCAAATTCCTCTAATTATTTTGATAGTCTTTGACTGCTGATTCAAGGATTTGTAATTTTTCTTGTATATCTTGTTGTTCTGGGCTCTTTGTTATATTGCTGTATAGGTTTGCAAAGTGATTTCTCCACATATCCCCATTTTGGATAGCCAATTCCTCATTATGAGGTTTGTTTAATTTATTCAAATTCTCCCAGAAGTGGTTTGATTCTATGGATTCCACAATTACATCCAGCTGATTTCTAATGTGCTGTTCCTTTTTTGTTCTTAGGGTGTGTTTGTATTGCTTAAGTTTTTCCCCATATTGAAGGCGTATATTTTTGTTGTCTGGGTCTCTTTGTTTTTGATTAGATATATATCTCAATGACTTTCTTCGATTTTTTTCAATCATTATCAAACAATTTTTTATTATCTATTATTTTTGGTTTGCTCTTATGTTTCTTTAGATTAGCCAAGGAGGCTTATTTGTCAAATATAAAGTTTATGTTCCAAATGGCCAAATGTACATCTTCATTGCTGTAGGAGAATGTTAAGGCTAAAAAGTTGTCCAGGAGAGATTGTATTTTTTTTTGCAGATTTCTGTACTGTTTGCACTCCATCTATAGGCCTGTTTAGTACCATGTAATTTATTGGGCCCTGATGCTTCATGGTTGGGTTCTGCTCTTCTCAGATACACTGTGATTTTACTGTGGTCTGAGAGAGGTGTTAGTGGGCTGACTGTGAAGGCTCTGAGAGACTCTGGTTTAAGGTCTGTGATGAAGTAGTCTACAGTACTGCTGCCAAGGGATGAGCTGTAGGTGTACCTACCAAAAGAGTCCCCTCTTAGCTTACCATTGACTATGTACAGACCCAGTGTTCGACAGAGCTTCAGGAGCTGTACTCCATTTTTGTTTTTCACTTTGTCATAGTTGTTTCTGGGGGGGGGGGTTGTTGCTTCCCGGTAGGTGTTTGTCCCCATGACTGTTAATAGTGTCTAGTGGCTGTTCTAGCATTCAGGTCTCCACAGACCAGTATGTTGCCTTGGGCCTGAAAGTGACTAATCTCCCCCTCTAGAATGGAGAAACTCTCTTCATTGAAGTAGGGGGACTCTGAGGGGGGAATGTATGTGGCACAGAGGAAGATGTTTTTATCTGTTAAGAGCCTCCTTGTTGATTTTTAACCAGAAAAAGTATTATCCTGTTTTGATCAATTCAATTGAATTAGTTAGTTCAGATTTATAGCATATTAGCATTCCTCCTGAGTCTCTGCCCTGTGTGATTCCTTTTAATTTGGTGGATGGTGCGATTATCTCCCTATAACCTAGTGGACAGCCAGTGGAAACATCACATCTGCACAATGTTTCCTGTAGTACTACAATATCAACATCATCCATTTATTTAAGGAAGTCTGGGTTTCTGCTCTTTAGCCCAAAAGCAAAGGACTTCAATCCTTGTAAATTCCAACATGCAACGTGAAAAGATTTCATAACTGTTTTTTATTTTCCATCAAAATGAGAAACTCTCTCTCTTGCTCTCTCGCTCTCTCTCTCGCTCTCTCTCTCGCTCTCTCTCTCGCTCTCTCTCTCTATATATATTAATATTACGTTTAAGTCATTTAGCAGACGCTCTTATCCAGAGCGACTTACAGGAGCAATTAGGGTTAAGTGCCTTGCTCAAGGGCACATCGACAGATTTTTCACCTAGTCGGCTCGGGGATTAGAACCAGCGACCTTTCGGTTACTGGCACAACGCTCTTACCCACTAAGCCACCTGCTTATCTATATAACTCTGTATAACTGTTGTTATACATTGCTCTGTGGAACATTAGAATAATAGCTAGATTACAGCTAGATCTACTGTGTTAGTTTTGTTTTGACCCAGCCTAATGCAAAATGACAACTCCCCTCACAAAAGGTCACTGCTTTGTTATACTGCTAGTATCACGGAGTCCAAAGTATTCCAGTTAATGCAACTTCATAGACTGCCATTATTTGTTAGTGACTATTGTCGTTGTGAATGTCAACACAATGAAGACTGATATGATCAGCCAGGATCACCAGTAATTGTGTCCTGTTGTGTTTTTCTCCTCCCTAGCTGGCATACTGTGTGGTACAGTTTCTAGAGAAGGACAGCACTCTCACTGAACCGGTAAGTCATTACATTTCTCCTCACAAGTAAGGTGTATTGATTACCCCTTCAGTGATGATGTATTCCGTCGTCTCCGACGGTATTGATATTGCAATGCATATCGACCCGTTGATCAAAACTGATAGGTTACACTTTATAACAACTTTTATGAACATTATACATGTGTATAAATTGTCTTTGCATGTTAATACATGTTTTTTAATAACATACACTATTTAAAATTTACTTTTTATAAAGTTAAAGTAAATGTTGATGTTTATTCATTAACGTTATTATAAGTGTTACTCACTGATCTATTGGTCAATATCCACTCCACTCCCTGCTCAATATGTCTACCAGGTGGTTATGGCCCTTCTCAAATACTGGCCCAAGACTCACTCCCCCAAAGAGGTGATGTTCCTTAACGAGCTGGAGGAGATTCTGGACGTCATCGAGCCGTCTGAGTTCGTCAAGGTCATGGAGCCGTTGTTCAGGCAGCTGGCCAAGTGTGTGTCCAGCCCGCACTTCCAGGTGACTGACCCTAGGCCATGGGAACCCTGTTATTGGTGACCTTTGACTTTTAGTCATTACGGTCTTGTGGGAAAGTGAACATTGAGTAGTGAAATGTTTCCAGTTGGTTCCTAGAACTAAGTAGTCCATTGAAACAAAACAAGAACCAGGACGTAATGGCTGTTCCGCCTGGTTCGACCCTGTAGTGGAAACCAACATGAGGGGTTCTAGAGATATGTTGGAGCAGTTATTTCATGGAAGGATGTTTCACCAATCAACTCCTATTACTCCTCTAACTCTATATGAGCTCTCCTGCTGTTGAAACCAGTGTGAGCTGTCCTGACCGATGGTGCTGTATGCTTTGGGTCACTGTGCAGGTGGCAGAGAGAGCTCTGTACTACTGGAACAACGAGTACATCATGAGTCTGATCAGCGACAACGCCGCCAAGATCCTGCCCATCATGTTCCCGGCGCTCTACCGCAACTCCAAGACCCACTGGAACAAGTGAGTAGCCCGTCCTCCGTCTGGGCCGTTTTCCATTAGGCACCAAAAGGAAGACCACAAACTAAAATGAGGAGGGACTACCTGGTCCAATAAGACATTTTCGCTGTCCTCTGTGTGGCCTAGTAAACGTGACATGATGCCTGGCCTTACTCTGCAACCTGGACATTGTCTTCTTTCTTAGTGCCATCTGGCTTTCTACTTTAAGACAAAGTCCAAACGAGAATGACTCAAGGTCAAACAATTATACGAATTTCGTTCAGTCCCTTGAGGCATTCAGACTATTTTAATGAGTCTTTTAGAAGAACATGCTCTTGTTTTGGCACTTACTGTTGCTCTCGTCTTACCGGTTTTAGGTTGCTCGCTGCTCGACTGCGTCCGTGGTCTGTGCTCTGCTGTGGTGCTTCTTGTCCTGTGTGTTTGTCTGGCCGTCTGCGTGTTGGTCGGCTTTTCTTCGCTTTCTGTTGTGCGCGTTGTGTCCGTTGTGTTCTCAGCTTTGTCTTGCTTGCTGTTGTTTGTCGTTCCGTTGTATCCTGCGTTGTATACTATTATTAATTTCAAGTTTCTACTGAAGTTTGATTAAAGCGGGAGAAACGTGTTAGACATATCTGGTTACTATAGCTTGACTATATATGTTAGGGAAAGATTTATAAATGAAAGACTTAGCTTGTTTGCGTTGTTGACTATACTGTGATGTTTATAGTTTGTGACTAGACTTTTGTTGCTTAAGTGGTGGTGATGATAGACGGTGTGTGTGACTATAAGGTGGCTTAGGTGTGACTATAGATGTGTGTGACTATAGACGGTGGTGACATAGAGGTGTGACTATAGATGGTGAGACTATAGAGGTGGTGTGTGACTATAGACGTGTGTTACATAGACGTGGTGGTGGTGACAAGACGGTGGTGGTGTGACTATAGACGGTGGGTGGTGTGACTATAGACGTGTGGTGACTATAGACGGTGGTGAGTGGTGTGACTATAAGTGATATGGTGTGACTATAGACGTTGTGGTGTGACTATAGACGTGGTGGTGACTATAGACGGTGGTGATATGAGTGTGACTATGAGATGGGACTATAGAGGTGCTGACGTGATGACTATAGACGGTGGTGGTGGTGACTATAGACGGTGGCTGGTGGTGACTAAGACGTTGGTGGGGACTATAGACGGTGGTGTGTGACTATAGACGTGGTGGTGGTGGTGACTATAGACGTGGTGGTATGACTATAGACGGTGGTGTGACTTAGACGGTGGTTGGTGTGACTATAGACGTGGTGCTATGGTTGGGACTATAGACGTGGTGACTATAGACATGGTGATGACTAGCGGTGGTGGTGACTCTAGACGTGGTGTTGACTGGTGGTGACTATAGACGTGTGGTGGTGACTATAGACGGTGGTGGTGATGACTATAGACGTGGTGACTAGATGGTGTACTATAGACGGTGGTGTGGTGACTATAGACGTGGTGGTGATGACTATAGACGTGTGGTGGTGTGACTATAGACAGTGGTGACTTGAGTGGTGTGCTATGAGTGGTGACTATAGACAGTGGTGGTGGTGGTGACTATAGATCGTGGTGGTGGTGATGACTATAGACAGTGGTGTGTGGTGGATGACTATAGACGGTGGTGTAAGACGGTGGTGGGGTGACTATAGACGGTGGTGTGTGTGACTATAGACAGTGGTGGTGGTGACTATAGACAGTGGTGGTGGTGGTGGTGACTATAGACAGTGGTGACTATAGACAGTGGTGGTGGTGGGGTGGTGACTATAGACAGTGGTGGTGGTGGTGACTATAGACAGTGGTGGTGTCTAGTGACGGTGGTGACTATAGATGGTGGTGGTGATGACTATAGACGGTGGTGGTGGTGACTATAGACGGTGGTGGTGGTGACTATAGACGGTGGTGGTGATGACTATAGACGGTGGTGGTGGTGGTGACTATAGACAGTGGTGTGGTGGTGTGTGGTGACTATAGACGTGGTTGACTATAGATGGTGTGGTGTGACTATAGACGTGGTGGTGGTGGTGACTATAGACGTGGTGGACTATAGATGGTGGTGGTGATGACTATAGACGTGGTGGTGGTGGTGAACTATAGACAGTGGTGGTGGTGACTATAGAAGTGGTGGGTGGTGTGTGACTATAGACGGTGTGGTTTGGTGGTGAGGACGTATAGAGCAGTGGTGCTGGTGGTGGTGACTATAGACGTTGGTGTGTGGTTGGTGGTGACTATAGACGGTGGTGACTATAGATGGTGGTGGTTGATGGACTATAGACGGTGGTGGGTGGTGGTGGTGACTATAGACAGTGGTGGTGGTGGTGACTATAGACGGTGTGTGGTGGTGGTGGACTATAGACGGTGGTGGTGGGATGACTATAACAGTGTGTGGTGGTGGTGACTATAGACGGTGTGATGGGGGTGACTATAGACGGTGGTGGTGTGTGACTATAGACGTGGGGTGGGGTGATGACTATAGACGTGGTGGTGGTGGGACTATAGAACGGTGGTGGTGGTGGTGACTATAGACGTGTGGTGGTGGTGTTAGGGGTGGTGTGACTATAGACGGTGGTGGTGATGACTATAGACATGTGGTGGTGGTGGACTATAGACTGTGGTGGTGGTGGTGACTATAGACGTGGTGGTTGTATGGTGGTGGTGACTATAGACGGTGGTGGTGGTGTGACTATAGACGGTGGTGGTGTGACTATAGACGGTGGTGGGTGGTGACTATAGACGGTGGTGGTGGTGGTGACTATAGACGGTGGTGGTGGTGGTGACTATAGACAGTGTGTTCATAGAGGTTGGTGGTGGTGACTATAGACGGTGGTGGTGGTGGTGACGTATAGACGGGTGGTGAGTGGTGACTATAGACGGTGGTGGTGGGTGGTGACTATAGACGGTGGTGGGTGGTGACTATAGACGTGTTGGTGGTGGTTGGTGGTGACTATAGACAGTGGGGTGGTGATGACTATAGACGGTGGTGGTGGTTGGTGGTGACTATAGACGGTGGTGGTGGTGTTGCTGTGGTGGTGACTATAGACGTGGTGGTTGTGTATGCGGTGGTGTTGACTATAGACGTGGTGGTGTGTTGAGTGGTGGTGGACTATAGACGGTGGTGGTGGTGTGACTATAGACGGTGGTGGTCTGGTGGATGACTATAGACGGTGGTGGTGGGGCTGATATGAGACGGTGGTGGTGGTGGTGTACTATAGACGGTGGTGGTGGTGGTGACTATAGACGTGGTGGTGTGGTGGTGATGACTATAGACGGTGGGGTGGTGTGACTATAGACGGGGGTGGATAAGACGTTGGTGTGATGACTATAACGTGGTTGAGAGTGGTGGTTGGTGACTATAGACGGTGGTGGTGGGGGTGACTAAGCTGGGGTGGTGTGACTATAGACGGTGGTGGTGGTGGTGACTATAGACGGTGGTGGTGGTGGTGACTATAGACGGTGGTGGTGAGGACTATAGACGGTGGTGGTGATGACTATAGACGGTGGTGGTGGTGATATAGACGTGTTGGTGATGACTATAGACGGTGGTGGTGGTGACTAGCGGTGGGTG